GTGAATGTTGCATTTGCTTGTGTGTATGTGACTGTGTGTGTGTGTGTGTGTTTGTGTGAATGTTGCATTTGCTTGATGGTGTGGCCTGTATACTTTGCTGAATGATTGGTGTTGGTGTGGTTTAACACTGCCTTTGCCGGTCCCAAGCCCGGATGTGAAAATGTGGAGGGAGCTGCATTTACCTCCTTTTTATTTTATATATATTCACCTTCTAAATTTTGTAGCTCATGGCATTCTAGTTTACTTGGATGGTTAGCTTGTTAATTAGTTTTGTGCATGCACAACTTGAAATCTAGCTGATGTAGTGTTTAGTTTCTGTACACGATAAATGGTTTTGTTGTGCACCTTTTTAAAGATGCCGCCCGTTTTTCTCCTGGATGTTAACTTGCATTTCTTGTGTTTCTGAATTGATTATCTATTGTAAGATATGGTTAGCGTATATAGTTCAGAGATAAATGCCTTTGTGTGAAACAGTTTTCATACATTTTATTCGTTCCAATGGTGATTTTTGTGTGTTGGAACTCCTGCGGAAGTTCTCTGTACCCCAGTATTATTTTGTAATAGAACATCACTGAAGTCAGTGTTTCAGTGTCATTTAGTACTAGAACATCACTGAAGCCAGTGTTCTAAGTATTTAGTACTAGAACACCACTTATCATTTGGGTATGAGAAACGTTCAAATACAAAAAATAAAATAGGAAGACGCACATTTCCGAAATGCATATAACAACTCGATAGGTAGCTGCTGATAATTTCATTTATCTTGATAATAGTAACACTGCATTACAGAGGAAGAGATCTGGGAACTCTCTGGTATATTACAATCTCTGGTATAATAACGGTTTAACATTCTGCAGGAGGAATTATCCTCCGCTTTCCGAGACATATACAATCACTAGTAAAACAAATCTCATCAGCAAAGCATTGGACATCAGCAATGCTGCAACAAGTCCTCCATCTTTATTCAGAACCTTGCATGCATCCATGGCGGCCGGTGATCGTCGTCCCCACTTCCTCTTGAAATTCTGCTCATCGTCGCTCGCGTCATCACGTCTGGGGCTGCTCCTAGAACTGTGTCTGGACCTCTGGCTGCTCTCTGTATCACCATCAACGGTAGAAGAGACGCGCATTCTCTTCCTGTCATGGTGATCCTCGTGGTAGTCACTGGAACCTCTGTCGGAACGCCCATGGTCCCTACTATTCCTCGCCGGTCTTGACCGGGACCTGTCCCTCGACTCTCTGCGACGAGGAGAAACCGAGCGCTGGCTGCGCTCTGATGGTTTAGATCTAGACCGGGACCTGTCCCGGGACTCTCTGCCGCGAGGAGAACCCAAGCGCTGGTTGCGCTCTGATGGTTCAGGTCTTGACTGGGGCCTGTCTCTCAACTCTCTGCCTTGAGGAGAGCCCATGCGCTGGTTGCGATCTGATGGCCTGGGCCAAGCACCGGAGTCATTTGGCCTCTCGGTCTGCCTTGAACGTGCAGAAGCTCCAGCGTTCCCCTGGGAGACCTGCCTTGAGCGTGCAGCAGCTTCGGCATCACGGTGTAACGCGGCCTGGTTTTCCCAGCTAAGAAGAAACAAATGAAATACGTTTAGCATTCAAACTCAAATGGACAGAAAAATATACAATGACTACAACTGATCTTAACTAAATTGTTCCACTGACAAGAGTTATGTCTATGTCTATGCTCATTACTACAGGTAGAAATGAAGAAAAGAGCCGTACATGTATGGATCAGGTACACCAAATGGACCCATGGGATATCAACCGTTGAAAGGGTTACAATATGCAGGGTCAAATGGAACGTTGTAACCATAGTCAGCATTGTTTGGATGAACAGCCTTGGATGAGTCTGCCTTCTTCCGCTTCTTCTTCAACTGATCAGTCCTGGCAACTTTTGGTTCTAGGCTCCCTGAAATAGTACCGTTCTTCAAAGTTGATCCGCTCACATCCTTCAGTTTGGGGAGGTCAGCACTAGGTACGGCTTTCTCTGCTGAACGCCCTGCAGAGCCTTCAGTGTTGCTCTTCAGATCATTATTCTTCTGAGGGCGGTCGACTTGATCACCTTCTGTGGCGACCTGGAGGCGGGCGTCGGGAGAAGCTGCCGGTAGCTGGTTGTCCATACATTGCTTCGTGTCCCTTTCCAAAGCAGCCGAGGTGGTGTGGCTCTGTGATTTGGGATCAGCGTTGCTTCCTGAAGAACTTCTGTGCTTCCCTGTACCGCTGGCAGTGCTGCAAGTCCTTGTTCCTAACAAATTGCTGATTGTGCTCCTAACTGTGGGATTGGGGATGAGGGAGTCTGCAAGGACCTTGACTCCACAAATGCACTTCGATTGTGTAATGATGTAATCTCGAATACCTGAGGGGGGAGACAGACGGTTATTCCTCATTCAATTTCAAGCAGCATAAACTCACGAAAACGATAGTACAAACTATTGCGAAGAACTAAAACAAAGCTGGAGCATAAGCACACTCCGAATATCTGAACATTGGCTCACCACAGAGCAAGACATCTAAAGATACAGACTTGATATAAGAGAACCGCTTACATTTATCACAGAAACTGACGAAGCAGCACTTGCTTGTTAACACCGCATCTGCCATCACCTTATTACATACTTCCTCCGTCTCACAATATAAGAGCGTTTTTGACATTAGTGTAGTGTTAAAAACGCTCTTATATTATGGGACAGAGGAAGTAGTTGGCAGTGGAGTTCTGCTGGCAACTACACTCTCAGATGCAGCTGGGGCAAGTACAGATAGAATGTCATCAACAGGATTTGGAGATACGACCGGGGCAACTGGACGAGACATTTTGTAGTTGTCAAATTTGGAATCGCCAATGGTTGGGCAATGCTGAATAAAATGCCCTGGAACCCGGTATCTGTAGCAGGTATAGCCAGGTGGAGGCGTCTGGTTTTCCTGTGGGCAATGTTGAATGAAATGGCCTGCAACTCTGCAGCTGCGGCACACATAGCCTGGTGGAGGTGCCTCCCTTTCTGATGATCCATGGCCTTCAATTTGAAAGATTTGACAAACAGTGCACATGTTAAATAGTATTCTGAACACATTCACAAAACGCAAGCATATTTTGCAGCAGTATAGTTCACATATTCACAAAACAACATGAATCTGTTCAAATTTGTATGAAAATCTGCTAGAGTTCAAAGGCTGTCTAATGGGCTGGAAACAAATTGTCTAGTTACTGTCAAAAAAGATCCAAGTGAAACATGGTCTACCGTACCAAAAAGAAAATAAATCTGGTCTCCGCAAAGCTTGAACACCTACACACTCTTTTTCATCATAACAATGGCTTTGATCTTTAAGAGAATCTTTTCAGATTATCTGCTAGCATAATCATAACTCAAAAGAACATGAAACTGAAGACAGGGAATTTTTGCATTACAATTATGGCGTCCTGATGTAAACCTTCCAGGAGCTTGTCCTCTCCTAAATGACTGCTCTTCCCTGCATGCACCATTAAATATGATCATTAGAAAAAGTACCAAAAAATCTAGCTGCTGACTTATGCGAGAAGGTTGTATTCTAACCATTTAAGTTCAGCTGCATCAATCACAGCTGTGATTGCAGCATCTTCATCTTTCACTTCTGCGGAGGAACAAGATTTTGAGACTGATTCAGTAACCACTGATCTGTTTGAAGCTAATGAACCATCTTCTATCACTTTCCGCCTGCAATTAGTGGTACAATATTAGTATACGAAAAAGAGCATCTCCTTAGCCATCAGTTAAAGACCTCCCAAAGTTAGACCAAAATCAAAATCTGTTTAGAGAACGAGAGTCATATAGAACAACTAATGTAAAACAATATGCATGTCATTTTGGTTCATTCTTTGAAGGAAACGGGCAGAATGGAAAGAGGTAGTGCCTTCATCAGTCTCTATTTTTATTACAAACACTTGTTAAGAACGTAGGATACGTCTACGCATAGAGGATAATCAATCAACAAAGTTAAAGGCGGCAAATTTCACATGTAATCTCAGTTCCGTCCGTTAAATTTCCTGCAATGAATCACCACCACCTCCCCCTTCCCGACCTCTCTGTACAGACAGGGATACAGTGACTTATGAGGACATCACGACGATACTCTCTGACTCTTGCCCAGCAGTTCGGCGGACCAGCACGGTTACATTCTGTGGTATCATTGCCTCTTCATCTGCATATTCTGCACTCAAGAATAAGAACAGAAAACAATATGTCAAAGCATTACAAGAAAAAAAACATCTAGCTTTTTAAGTGCGAAATAAAATCTAATCCAGTATAACCAAAATATGCAATTAAATAGCAACACTAGCGTGTTTAAATTGAAACTAAGATCTTCAAATAACATCACAACAATCAAAATAACGGTTAATTTACGTTCAGAAAACTGGGAAACTACGAGCTACTGAGATGTGCAGGATGGGAAAATATACAAGGATTACTCGCAATCACGATATGCAATTTGAACTATCCATAGTACAGGGGATCTATCGTGCTATAGGAGCATATCACAAGGACATGCTAGAGAACGAGTATAGCAGCTCTTCGACTACAACAACAGTATGTCCTAGTACATCATGAAGAGACCTCCATTACAGTCGTAGTACATAAGCAAATATCAGTACAGCAGGACACGGAGTAATATTGACAACCATGCTCGAGGGTTGCACAATTCACATAACAGTTATGCGAACACAACCATAGCATAACTGTCCATCAATATATGTACATAAATAAACAAACACACAAAAAAAAGATAAACAAGCTGAATCAGCATTACTACAGAAATGAGCCAGATTAGAATCGCTGGGGATAACATTGTACCAGACATGTGACAGCAGCAGCTCAGTGTATGAGTATGTGCCCTGCAACAGCAATTATCTAGTTACTTTAACAGGACTAGCTACTTTTGAACAATCAGGTAGTTCACAGTATGCAGTTTTACTTATATTGAGTTTCTTCATTTCCTAGATGCAGCAGGCTGTCCACGTTGTGTGTTTCAATTCTTTGATTCACCTGTATTTTCATTTCAGCAGGTTGTCCATGTTGTGTGTTCCATATGGATTAGATGCCGTCGACTACTTTGTCTTCAATGCCGCGGCTCCTTGTTGGGTCTCTGTTAAGTAGGCATGAGAAGGAAGATCACATTGTGAAACAGTACACGAGCACCTGAGAGTTTGATAGAAGCATCACTTTTAATATTTTAACAAAGGCTACAGAATTTTGAAATCTCAGTTAAACTTGTCTTCTCCATGACTCCCTCCATAGACTGACAATGTCGCGGTTAATAGTTTAATTTGTGAAAAGGTAGTACAGATAAGAAAATCTTAATTCTCCCTACACCTTTTCATCAACACTGACATTTATTTCTTCTCTGTATGGGTGATAGAAACAAAATCCAAATTCCCTCTGTGCGAAATCTAAAATCTGAAAGAGTGAAACATGTTCCTCTTGCAATCAACATCATTGGATGCTTTTCAAGATATCATGAATCATCACACAACATGTGTAGAAGAAGAAGCATCAGTTTTTTTTATTTTAACTAAGGCCACAAAATGTTGAAATCACAGTTAAAACTTGTATTCTCCATGACTCCCTCCATAGACTGACAATATCGAGGTCAATGGTTTAATTTGTGTAAAAACAGTACAGATAAAAATCTCGATTTTTCCTGGACCTTTTCAGTAGAAAGGGGGAAAACAGAAAGGACAGGAGACGATGAGCCTCTCCTTCTCACCACAGTACCAATGCTCAGAGGAACTCAAGCTTTGGTGGTGGCGTGGTGCCATGGCTGTGAGTCTGTAACTTGAAGGCCAGGTACTAAGGAGTAGGAAGGAGAGACCACAAGATCACAACGGAAAGAAAAGAGATTAGCGAGGACGCTCAAGTTCCGGGACGGCCAACTCCACGGCAATTCATTGGTGGAGGCAGCGGCAGGCAGTGAGTGGTCGAGGTGAAGGACTGTGAGCAGCAAGAGGCACACAAAAGGGGTGTTGTAACGCCATATCGTCGTAGGAGCACACCAAGACTGAGACCGTCACCACCCGCTGTCCATGTCGGTGCCGGCGAGGATAAATTACACGGAGCTAGGCAACCAAAATTGATCCCCAACCAACAAGGTAGAACCTTGTATTTGAGGGCAGCACGAGTAGGTTCTTGTGTTTGCTTGTGTATTGTTCTGCTGCATGATAAGGACGCACCAGCAGCAAGAGTACAGTGATTCATCATAAACTATCATGATCCATTGCATAAATGTTACTTCAGAGATAGGTTTAGTGAGGGCATGGTGAGAAATAGCATGAAGAAGATTAACCTGAGCTCACTTAAATATGTAAATCAGCAATGCTATAGTTAAAAATTACATTGACCTGCCTGCAACTACAAATGGTTGATTGCATCATTCATTGATGATTGTGGTTGTGGATACTGAAATCTCCAATTTCATATTCATCATATGACCTTTAAGGAGCAGATTGCACTGCATCTGTTCTCAGATTTTTCACCTTCTCTTCTCAAGGCATCACATAGAAGTAAACTACAGGCCAAGGACAATATCATATTATCATGTCTTTTTTCTTTCAGTTCAATTGACTGATCAAAGAAATACATAACAATGTAATTTCTAAACTATCACAGCAGTAGGCTAAAGTCAAGAATAGTCAAGTTGCATCTCATGTAAGCCACGATCATGTAGTATCTTGTTCTTGTCAACATGCATGAGGATAAAATTAGACAATTAGTTAATCTTGTAATGCATTTTAGGGAGTCACAACATGGTTAAATACAAGGTGTACTCGTCATGATATTGATTTGTAGACTACAGAAGCATCTAGAGGGAATTATTTCAACCAAGATCACTACGTGCTAGCACATGTACCTTTGTGCTGATTTAACAGGTTCACGTGCACCCTATCTCTGAAAATATTAACATGTCCTGAAACTTAAAGCCTGTGTGGTGTTGCTCTGTTCTGTCTATTGTTACATGCTTCTCATGAACAAAGAGATAAATGGAGTAATTATATTACTAAGAGTACCAGGGAGACTTGTACATGAGGCTTCAGTCAGATAAATTACTGCACTTTAGGATCCAAATTTTGATTACACTTCACCGTTATATCCAGAAAAGGACATGTACTTCAGTACCACCAATTAGATTAAACTTGACGATTAATTTCAGAATACTGTCGTAGCCTATATTCATGTACCAGCAGAACTTGATCTCCAGGAACCATCAAGCTAAGCTGATGTTGAAATTGGTTATTCCACCTCTGTTTTAGTATGCAAGTTACGCATGCTTAAAACCTAAACTAATTTGTGCAGGATAAGAGTTTTGATGAAACAATTTTTGACAATTCCAGATGATGATCACCTCACTATGCTGGTTCACATTTAGTCCTTGTACACGTATCAAATAATCGCAACTGTCGTAGGATCCAGTTAAGCACTTAAGAACCAAGAGATAAACTGAATGGTTCAGGGTGAGTTCGAGCAATAATAGATTTTAAATCAAAAAGAGCCCCCACCACGAACGCATTGGCAACATTGATTTGTTTGGTTTGTTTTAAAATAAAAAGCAGCTGTTGATTACACTCTTATAGTGTATGCAGGTAAGTCGATGAACTGTACCTCCATATTTGTGCAAATTAGTTTTAGCCAATGGAGACATGACTACTAGCTGCTTCTTTATTGAGACCCTTGTCCATTATGACCTTCCTTGACTCATCAGATATAGACCATTGTCCAGCAGCAGCGTGAAAATTTGATATTAACACAAGATTTCGAGGATTATGTGGATCAACCTCCAGAATATGCTCAGCTACCATGTTTCCTCTAGCCACATCCATGTTAGCAATACATGCACTCAGCATAGACACACAGATAGCACCATGGAGCTTACTTATGTTCGAACGTAAACAACAGTACAGATCCCATGCCTCATCAATCAGTCCTGCCCGGCCTAACATGTCAATAAAACATGCGTAGTGCTCTGGTCCTGGATCAATCGCATACTTCCTTTTCATCAAATGTAACTTCGATCGGCCTTCATCCACAAGACCAGAGTGCCCACAAGCTGAGAGAACAGCAAGAAATGTAATGGCATTAGGCACGACAATGGGTACAGCTTTCTCCATCCTCTCAAACAAACCCAAAGCCTCTTCGCCATGCCCATGGCGACTATAACCATCAATCATACTGGACCAGGAAACGACATTTCTGCAAGTCATCCGATCAAACACCACACGTGCAGCCGTTGTCCGCCCACACTTTGCATACATGTCAATAAGTGCATTGCATAGGACAGTCTCAGAATCAAACCCGCATCGGAGAACCTTGCAATGCACTTGAAGGCCATATGCCAGATTTGCTGCGGCTGAGCAAGCTGTGAGAGCGCATGTCAGTGTGATTCCATTGAGTTCAATACCGCCCAGCATCAAGAAAGCCTCCCGGAATTGGCCATTCTCCACACAGCCTGAAAGAACAGAGTTGCACAGCGCCACGTCCTTGGGGCAGTCCGTGTGGATAAACAGCCCCTTCGCCTCCTCGACGCAGCCGCAGCTCATGTAGAGATCAACAAGAGCTGTAGTCATAATGACATCACCGTGGCACGCAAGAACTATCCGCGCGTGCACTTGGCGGCCGGGGCGCACGGCACGGGAGGAAGCACAGGCCTTGAGCATGGTGCAGAGGGTGGCGGCCGTTGGCACAAACCCGGCAGCTGCCATGCCGCGGAAAACTTCAGCGACGGCGCCGCAGCGCGCGTAACGGACGTGGCATGCGAGGAGCGCGTTCCAAGCAACGGCGTCGCGCACGGGCATTTCGTCGAACAGGCGGGAGGCGGCGCCTGGGAGGCCGGCTTTCGCGTAGGCGGTGAGGAGGGCGGTGGCTGGGATGGGGCTGGAGAGGGAAGATGACTTGAGCAGCGCGGCGTGGAATGCGGGGGAGTGGGAGGGGCGGGAAGAGAGGCCGCGGAGCAGCGCCGAGAGCGGAGGGGCCGCGCGAGCCATTTCCTCCCCTGGTAAACGGAGCAACGGCCGACGTAGAGGGTGAAAATTGACCCCTATCAGAAATTTCAGCTGGCTGGGGCGAGGTGGCGATGGGCGCCGGGCGGGGAGGAGCGGCGAGGCAGGCGGCGACAGCGTCCGACGAGCAGGCAGCGAGCCGTCGAGATCAGAAGCGGCGGAGGCAGTGGCGCGCAGCCTAAATCCTAATTGGCGCCTTATGCAACATATCAAAATGGGCCAGCCCATGTAGGTATTTTTGTTACCTTTTTTTGGGAACATTCTGCCGGTTTTTCTAGGCGGATTTTCTCAAAAAAAAAATCCCAGCACGGGTTCCCGGTTTTCTACCCTTTTTTCGTTTTTCCTTTTTCTTTCTTATTATTTCATTGTTCGCTTTATTTCGTGAACTTTTCACAAATTTGAAATCTTTTTTTAAATTTGTGAATATATTTTTTCAAATCAGTGAATTTTTCTTGTGATCCTTTTTTTCCAAAATTTGTGAATTCAAGTTACAAAGTTTTTTCAAATCTTGTGAACCCTTTTTAAAATTCATGAACTTTTTTCATATTTATGAACTTTTTCAAATTATGAACTTCTACAAATCTTGAACTTTAAAAATATATTATGAACTTCTCTCAAATTTACGAACTTTTTTTCTTCTACATTTAACCTTTTTTTGTAAAACTCAATAGTCAACTCTCCATGGTCAAGGGTTGATAGTGATGGGGTCATGTACCTAGGGTAGGGCCACAGACCTGATCTAAGTACCCTGCCCAAGGACACCCTTAGAAGAGGTCACCTTCCAGTCGACCAACGAGAGACACACTCGACTGCCTTGAAGGACTCGACTGCGAAGACTCACTCGACCACCAGAAGGTCAAGAGGCACTCTGCGCTGCAACGGCCTGTAATTAAGTAGACTTTATGATAGTAAAGACACTTTATGTGGGGCGTTACCAGTAACGCCCCGGACTTAACTCACCTTAAACCCTCTCCTACGTGGGCTGGCTGGGGTCCTGGCGCACTCTATATAAGCCACCCCCCTCCACAGGCAGAAGGGTCCGGCCCCCTGTAACTCATATACATATAATCCACTCGACCGCCTCCGGGCTCCGAGACGTAGGGCTTTTACTTCCTCCGAGAAGGGCCTGAACTCGTACATCTTTTGTGTTTACAACCTCTCCATAGCTAGGACCTTGCCTCTCCATACCTACCCCCCACTCTACTGTCAGGCTTAGAATCACGACAGTTGGCGCCCACCGTGGGGCAGGTGTTTTAGCAATTTTGTGGAGAAGTTGCGATTCTTCCGAGTACTTTCATCATGGTGGCTGCTGGATTTTTGGTCGAGGGTCGAGAGATCCGTCTCGGCGCTCTCACCTTCATCGCCGACGACTCAGCCTGGCTCCAGGAGGCTCCACTCGACGCTGATGCGTTCCCAGTCCGCGGTGCGACACATTTTCGCGCATGTGTCCGCGGCGTTCTGCTGTGGCAACCGTCGACCCCGTATCGGTCGACATCCCCATCGACCACCCTCCCGGTCTCCCGCCAGCGCAAGCGCTCGGGCCGGTCGAGGATTCAGCGGTGGGTGAGGCACGCGGTGGCTCGCCAGATGGCCACCACCCAAGTTGCGGCAATCGAGCCCGACGAATCTCTCTACGGCCTGTTCGATCTGTCGACTGGCTCCGTAGAGACCGCATCCGAGTGCAATAGCAGTGATCCAGCGGCGGACATTCTGATGGTCGACGGGCCCCGCAGTCCCCCTGGCTTCGCCCGTGATGGTGGAGCAGGCGACGGAGGCGACCCCGCACGAGACCACGAAGAGTACCAGCCCGAGCCACTCGACTCTCTGCAAAGAGAAGAACTTCGCCGCAGGAACGTGGATGTCCTGCGTACTCCCATCGCAGGAGAAACCCTCGAGGCTTGCGCCTTGGAGGAGGCACGTTTGGCCAATTTGGCCGAACGCACTCGACTAGAGAATCTTCAGCGAGCACTCGACGAGCGCGCGCGGCAACGAATTCCCAACACCAATCGACGTCAACTCTTCCCGCTGACTCAGGTATATCGAACCCCAATCCAGAATTTAGCAGCTGCGACCCGTATAGCAGAGTCCATCCAACCCTCTCAGTCGGAAGCTGGCAGAGGCTTGATGCAGATCAGGGATCTGCTCCGGGCAACAGGAGATCAGAATTCGGCCGTGTCGCAGTCGCGCAACAGAATTCACAGTCGATCCGTCGCTGCGAATACGGTTCAGTCGGCTCACAGCCCCAGATCGCCTCCCGCGGCGTGAAGGGCGCGAGAATCGGCGAGACCAATATGGTGACCGACTCGACCGAGATGATAGGCGTCGAGTGCCCAATTCCCCTCCGAGGGGTGGGTCTTACGCTCCTCGGCAGCAAGATGACAGACGTCAGTTCAGTACGGGGCGAAGAGTTCCGGTCGACCCCAGAGAACCAGGCTTCGACGCGCGATCCATTATCGTGCAAGGTTTGGTCGACCAGAACAGAGCCCATCGAGGCGGACTCGACAGAGATGCGCCCACAAGCAGTCGAGTGCATGTTTCTGGTCCTGAATGCTTCAGCAGAGCTATCAGAGCCGCAGTTATCCCTCCCAATTTCAGGTTGGCAACAGGAGTCAGCAAGTTCACTGGTGAGTCTAAGCCTGAAACTTGGCTTGAGGACTACCGAGTGGCGGTTCAGATTGGTGGTGGGAACGACGAGGTGGCCATGAAGCATTTGCCCCTCATGCTGGAAGGTTCTGCCAGGGCATGGTTGACTCAATTACCTCATAGCAGCATTTACACTTGGGAAGATTTGTCCCGAGTGTTCATCAGAACGTTTGAAGGTACTTGCAAGCGACCGGCTGGACTGACGGAGTTGCAAGTCTGCGTGCAGAAGACCAATGAGACTCTCAGAGAGTATATTCAGAGATGGATCACTTTGCACCATACTGTGGAGAATGTATCTGATCATCAGGCAGTCTGCGCCTTTAAAGATGGCGTCAAGAACAGAGAATTGAGCTTGAAGTTTGGTCGAACCGGTGACATGACCTTGAGTCGGATGATGGAGATTGCTACCAAGTACGCCAACGGCGAAGAAGAAGACCGACTCCGAAGCGGCAAGCACAAGCCGAGTCAGTCGGAAAAGGGAAACACCAGTCGGAAACAGAAGCGGAAGGCTGAACCGGCAGCTCCTGGAGAGGCTCTGGCCGTGACTCAGGGAAAGTTTAAAGGGAAACCAAAAGGATCCTGGAACCCTAAGAAGGTAAAGGATAAAGAAGAGAACGATGTGATGGATATGCCGTGTCACATCCACACGAAGAAAGATGAAGAGGGGAATATCATCTACCCGAAGCACACCACTCGCCAATGTCGACTCCTGATCCAGCAGTTTCAGGGAAAACAATCTAATAACAAGGAGAAGGAGTCGGACAAGGTCGAAGACAAGGAGGACAGTGAGGAAGGATATCCTCATATCAACTCTACTCTAATGATCTTTGCAGATGTGGAGAGCAAGAGTCGATTGAAAGTTATTAACCGTGAGGTGAACATGGTTGCCCCAGCAAAAGCAAACTATCTGAAATGGTCCCAAACACCCATCACCTTCGACCAATCTGATCACCCGACTCATATTGCCACCCCTGGGAGGCAAGCTTTGGTGGTCGATCCAGTTGTTGAAGGCACTCGACTGACAAAAGTGCTTATGGACGGTGGTAGTGGGTTGAATTTGCTGTATGCAGACACACTGAAAGGAATGGGCATTCCGATGTCCCGACTGAGCACCAGTAACATGAGCTTTCATGGTGTTATACCAGGAAAGAAAGCCGAGTCACTCGGCCAAATAGCTCTGGACGTGGTGTTTGGCGATTCGAAACATTTTCGCAAAGAGAAGTTGACGTTCGAGGTCGTGGATTTTCAGAGTGCATATCATGCCATTTTGGGAAGACCAGCTTATGCACGGTTCATGGCTCGACCATGTTACGTGTACCTCAAATTGAAGATGCCCGGCCCCAAAGGAGTGATCACTGTCACCGGTGATCGGAAAAAGGCAGAAGAGTGCTTCCAGAAAGGCTCAAAGATTGCTGATTCCCAGGTGACAGCGGTCGAGTTCGAAGAGTACAAGCAAAACGCAGATCCGAGTGACTTGTTGCGATCCAAGAAACCCGCCACAGAGTCTGCATTTCAGTCGTCCGGTGAGACGAAGCCTGTTCACATTCACCCGACCGATCCCGATGCAGCTCCAACCCGCATCTCCACAACACTCGACCCAAAATAGGAAGAAGCGCTCATCCAGTTCCTCGGTGAGAACTGGGACATTTTTGCATGGAAGCCCGCTGACATGCCAGGTGTTCCCAGAGGACTGGCTGAGCATCGCCTAAGAGTCGACTCATCTGCAAAACCAGTTAAAGAGCATCTTCGGCGGTCCGCCGTCCAGAAGAGAAAAGCCATTGGTGAGGAAGTGGCTCGACTGTTGGCGGCAGGATTTATCCGAGAGATATACCACTCCGAGTGGCTCGCTAATGTCGTCATGGTTCCTAAGAAAGACAAATCACTCCGAATGTGCATTGATTTCAAGCACATCAACCGGGCCTGCCCGAAAGATCATTTTCCTCTCCCTCGCATAGATCAAATTGTTGACTCGACCGCGGGATGCGAGAGACTGTCTTTTCTAGACGCCTACTCCGGGTACCACCAGATCCGTCTGTACGGACCCGACGAGATAAAAACAGCTTTCATCACTCCATTCGGGTGCTTCTGCTATATCACCATGCCATTCGGCCTCAAGAATGCCGGAGCCACATTTATGCGAATGATTCAGAAGTGTCTACTCACTCAAATCAGTCGGAATGTGGAAGCATATATGGATGATATCGTTGTCAAGTCACGAAAAGGTTCCGACCTGCTCGCTGATCTCGCCGAAACATTTGCCAACCTCAGAAGGTATGATATCAAGCTCAATCCATCAAAGTGCACATTTGGAGTTCCTGGTGGCAAGTTACTCGGTTTTCTCG